CTATACTAGTCGCTCTATATCACCGCGGTCCCCTCAGCCTCTGTGAAAGCTCTCATGGGGTCCTTAACGACATCATGTGATAGAGTGTGTATTAAGCTCTCCACTGCAAGTCGCATTATATGCAAACAGTTCGTTAGTAAATTTCTCTTATAAGGAATCGTATTAACCCGAAGCTCACTGTTATCATTTCGATCCTATCATGTCGTCGTCGGACTATCTCCATCTTGGCCGAAGTCTGCTAAGTGGCGAGGAAATCGGTACGCAGAAAAAAGAAAAAAGAATTGAACTCATTCGTCTTTTTAGAGGAAACCTTATGGGAACGTATATCGCCTTGCAAAACTAACTTGAGTGACAACGAGGAAAACGAAGGTCTGTTTCTAGCTGTGCTATCTAACTGGTGGAAAGCAGTTCATCAGATTCTAACATCGAGCAGGCCCCGATTTCACCATCGCCTTCGCAAGCTCCATCAGGCGTCACTACTCTCGCTAGCACTGGTGTTGATGATTTTGTCATTCCCATGGAAATTGATAACGAACCGAGTGAGCCGCTAGTAGTGGAATATATGTTTGCTTTCCTCAACTCAGCTCAGGAGGCTCCTTAATAATCATAGGAGTTCATATAGTGTATAAAAACCAATGATATTTTCGCGAAAATTTCCGCAAAATTTTCATATTTTCAGCAGCACATGCGCATATTTTCCCACACGGGAGTAGGGTGTGCTCGCATTGTCTCAGCGAGAATTCCATGTGGGTCCCGAATGACACTGAGTATCGGTGGCCACCAGGAGCAGGGTAGCAGGAACTATCAGGAGGACAGAGCCGCTGTTCACTTCTGTCGAGCGCAAGAGGAATGTGAGTCTGTTCGGGAACGTATGAGTTTCACCCGTTTCATGAGAAGTGGAGTAATACTCGGTGAAAAACGCGATAGTCGCGCTATACAGTAGCTGTGAAATATATTTTTCCACTAGTCATATCACGGGTGGAACTCCATAGTTGAAACTCAATGTGTGTGTATGTGCAGTTGATGTTCCGAGGCGTTAGAACTAGGTATCGTTGATAGCACGACCTCAGTTTCCTTAGATCGCTTGAATAGATAGTAAAAAGATTTCATCATCTCATCAAGGATCCAGCATGTCACCATTGTTCATCCAGTTTGACCGAGGTATTCGTAGTACGATTTCATATTTCGCGATGCACTATACGGCAAACCGTTTATCAGTTGGTTCGTCTCAGGCGTGTTCTACAATGCCGGTACATGTCCATGTGTCGTGTCGGGCCTCGTTGGGGCTATTTATGATGGTCACAGTGGAGAAGGTGATAGTAGTAGATGTAAAAGAGTAAATTCATTTATTCAGATGCTAGTAAGTACCTTCAGACTTACCTCGGCAACGCTGTCTTGAAAGCCGTTTATGATCTCAAACGGCAATATGGTAATACTCTATGGAAGTGTTGGAATATCGATCATAAAATTTCGGGTAGAAGTGTACGCAAGCCCATAAGAATCTACTCAAATTTCCCACCAAACATATAGTTAATCATGTGCACATTTTCCCACAAAAGTTGTAAAACTAGTTTTGCAGTATTTTTATGTTTTCAGGAAAAGTTCGAGATTGTAAGAGTTTCGGTGACGCTATCAAGCGGTGTTTCGCTGAACAAGACTCCATCATTCTCGCGGAAGACGCTATTAAGGATGGCAGTAAGCAGGCCTTAGCAATGGAGCTCGTGGTGGTGTTAGCTGTCGATACGTGATACACCACCGCGAGTTGTGTAAGAGATGGTATGGGAAACTCCGAATTGGGAACATCTCTTCGCATTCT